CATGGGTGTAGATGCACTACTAGTAGAGGTGCAGAATCACCACCCTCGACCTGCTGGCCACGCTTCTTTTGATGCAGCTCAGGATATGATTGGCCTTCTGGGCTGCGAGCGCACATTGCTGGCTCGTATCCAGCTTTTCATCCACCAGTACCCCCAAGTCCTTCTCGGCAGGGCTGCTCTCAACCCCTTCATCCCCCAGCCTGCACTGATAGTGGGGATTGCCTCGACTCAGGTGTAGGACCTTGCACTTGGCCTTGAGGTGAAGGTCCAGGAGATACACATGGGGGAGAGCTGCAAGAAGTTCCTATGCCAGCCCTCCACAAAGCATCTCCTCCAAAGGGGGGCAGCTGCCTGCCCCTCGGTACCAGCAGGAGCTCTGCCTCTGGCCAGCCCTATCCTGGCTCTCACCTGCGCACACCACACCAGCATCCTCCCCGTGGTGGCAGTTGTGGATGCCCCACATCTTGGCTTGGCACTTGGAGAAGTCGGTTTCCTCCCCTGTGCAGCTCACGTCGTCCAGCCAGATGGGGCCAGCTCCCCACCCAAACCGAGCCAAGCCGGGGGCCGAGAGGGCCACCCCGCAGCCCAGCTGCCGGCAGACCACTGCCGCGTCTCTCAGGTCCCAGCTGTCATCGCAGACCGTCCCCCACTTGTTGTTATAAAACACCTCGACCCTCCCGGCACACTCGCTCAAACCACCCACCAGGCGAAGCCTGGGGATGCTGGCAATCCCCGAGCCTGAAAAATATCAAAAACCAGGCATTATTAGGGATATGCTTGTGCATCATAACACGTGTTGGGCTGGAGAAGGCAGGACATCCCTGCAGCAGTTCTGGATGGCATTGCTGCAGCAAGCTCGTATGTCCCTTGCCCTTTATCAGAGACTTGCAGCAAAGCGAGCACAGGGGTTTTTTGCAGGGTGGAAGGAGCTGCAGAAGATCCCTTCCACCAGTTGCACCCTGAGGGTGGTTGCATCCTGGTTCAGATGTCGGGACAGGAGAAAGCGCACGTGTCTCCACCTGAGGAGCACCGTGCTGGGAAGAAGGGATGCACAAGAGTCCTTCCCAGTGTTTCTCTGTGCTTTCCCTTCCCCCTTGCTTTGGAGGCTGCATCACCTAGATTCACCTGGTGCTAGCCACTTCTTGCCCTAGAGGAAATGGCAAAGGATCTTTTTCTGGTTGTCCCTGTCCTGACTGCTTCTGACTGCCACATTGACCTGTCCATGGAGGTTGACCTTCTAAGGCCAAGGCTAGACTGGTAGAAGCTAGGTCAAAAGTGGTGCATCACATGAGAGCAGCTGGTTCCAGTACATCTTTCTGCATTTATCTGCACATCCTGACATTTTACAGTGCCAGCAGCGCAAGTCGCTCTGCCTGCTCTTGAGCTGTGGCAGGGTGCAGTTGCATCTGCTGTCACTCAAGCAGCACCCATGCACCCTCCAGCTACTGCTCGCAAAGGGTGCAGGTGCTTCACCCCATGAAAACGTCTTGGACACCTCCAATGGTACCAGACACAGAGGCATGTCTTAAGCCATGCAGCTTTTTCCCAGTGTATCATATTTTTCCATGTCTCTGAACACTGTTATTTTAACGCCATGTCTACCGATCTGGGCAACTTGTTGGCCAGCTTGTTCCTAAACTGTTCCCAGCCTGCAGAAGGATGGGGCTTGGTCTGTCTTACAGAGAAGGCATGTGGTGAGGATTACCTGAGCACACAACACTGGCATCTTCCACGTGGTTACATGCATGTTGTCCCCAAGGCTTGACCGGGCATTCAGCAAGAGTGGCTTCTGTCCCAATGCAACTCACCCCATCTAGCCAGATGGGGCCAGATCCTTGCCCAAACCCAGATAAACCTGGGGCTGACATGGCTGTCCCGCAGCCCAACTGCCGGCACACCACGGCTGCGTCGTTCAGGTCCCAGCCATCGTCACAGATGGTTCCCCACTGCTGGCTGTGAAAGACCTCCACCCTCCCGGCACAGCGGTGCGGGCCGTTCACTAGCCGCAGGGCTTCTGAGCTCCCCGGGTCCAAGTCTAAAAACAGAATCGGAGGACAATAAATCCTGGCCAGAAACGCCTGCCTGTCCAGTGGCTGGCAACGTGGTGGACCTCCCCTTGCAAGAGGTCTTGCAAGGTCTCCACCAGCATGTGGCATTTCTGCTACTACTGCACCCTAGGTGTGCATGCATGAACACCTTTTGGGACGAGCCTGCTAGGACCATGCCCAGTAGATTGTGAACCTGGCCAAGTTACAGAGGAGCTCCCATGATGTGAGTATCCTTACGGGGACAAAGCAGGCAAGGAGGCACCAAGTGCATCGTGCACCTGAGCAAGGAATAGCTCGGTGAAGAGAAGGGACTCCCCGAGAACTAGAGGCTGTGCAGTAGCATGGATCAAAAAAAACCCCCAGAGGCAGCTGCAACCCTGGTGTGCCACGGCTCTGTGCCTATGATGGAAAGCCTACATCTTACAGGCTTGGGATTTCTGGGAATCCCAGGCTTGGTGTTTCCAAGCACTTTGCCTGAGGGAAGCCAGGGTCTGGTACACCTCGAAACAGAAAACAACTTGTGCTTCCTGGTGGGACCGCAGAAACAAGGGGTGGTTGAGCCAGGACAAGGAGGAGCTGGATGGGTGAATTTGGTCAGACTGCATGGCCTTCCCCAGGGGAGGACTGATCCCCGACTCACCGCCACTGACCTGCGGACACAGAGCACGAGACGCCTGCGTGCCCCCTTGACTTGCAGCTCTCAGCGCCCCAGAACTTGACCTTGCATTCGAAGAGGGCCCCCTCCGTCCCGGTGCACTCCACGGCATCCACCCAGATCAGGCCATCTCCTGTCCCAGACCAGGCAGACCCAGCAGCTGAGTGCGCCGCCCCGCAGCCCAGCTGCCGACACACCACGTGGGCTTCAGCCAGGTCCCAGCCATCAGTGCAGATGCCCCCCCAGCGCTGATCATGAAACACTTCAACTTTTCCGGAGCACAGGTCTGAGCCATTCACCAGGCGGAGGCTTCCGAGGTCAGAAATGCCTGATCCTACAACATCAGAGAGCGTACACACATTAAGGAGATACCTTCTGCCCCGTGAAACCTCCAGCTGCCAGCAATGGGTTTACACCAGAGGCTGAGCAGCCCTGGGGGTCAAGGATGCTCATGTGACGACAGAGAGGGCAGACCTTTGAGGTGTGATGTGAACTGACCCAAGTGGTGCTCACGGCTTGACTAGCATGGGCTTGACCAGACTATAGTCAATGGACCTTACATAGTTTGCCTTCCTAAAGCAGACACATAGGGCAGGGTCCAGTCACCAAGATGTAGGTGTCCTTGTGCCATTTCGGAACTCCTGGGATACCTCATCTGCCCTCCAGCTGCTGCTCCTGAAGGGCACAGGTTTTCCTGTAGGATCTCTTAGCCCAACTAGGGTGAGATGCTACCTTCCCATGCTGGGGCAACTGAATTCAATGCTGGCTGTCTCGATCGGTGACATCCAGATATTAAGCAAAGTCCATCCTGATATAAAGCAACCTGTTTGCAACACAGTAGCCCCAGCTTCTTAACAGTCACTAAAATGGGCTGCGGGGGTCCTCTGACAGAAAGTCAGAGCTGGAGAGGAGAGAGAGGGATGGGAGATGGGCTGTCATGGGCTCACGCAGCTCTGAGCATCACGGGGTACATCTACCATGGATCAACCAAAGATGTTGGAGAGTCCTCCCTGACTGTAATGGGAGAAGACCCATTCATACTGCAGTCTGCCCTGCTGTGAAGAAATAGGCGGCCATGTTGTAATTTGCCTGATGGGAATGGTCTCTGGCCCATGCTGACTGCCAGGTTTTGTGATAAATAACATCAGCCAAAAGCATGCCAGAGACCGTATTTTTAGCGATAGCTGTGCAAATGGGCAAGTGTTTGCTTTTTCTCGACTTTAATGTCTGCATACAGCTGCCCTCTTCCACTAGGATGGACCATGAGCGGCTGACTTCAAAGCATAGGGTCTCGAGGCTGGCTGCAAACTGTTCCTGCGTCGCAAGCCCTTGCACCCATAGGGGAAAGCAGAGTCAAACCCCAGTGCAGGAGGACCGTGGTAAGGTTTGCTGCAGTGCTCCCGGTGCCATGATGGGCAGTGGTTACCTGAGCACACCACACCGGCATCTTCTCCATGCTCGCATCCATGGACACCCCAGCCCTTGGCTCTGCATTCGGAGAGGGCTGCCTCAGTCCCCATGCAGCGCACGTCATCCAGCCAGATGGGTCCCTGTCCCTGCCCGAAGTGAGCCCGCCGCGGAGCCATTACCACCGTCCCGCAGTCCAGCTGCCGGCACACCACTTTGGCATCCACGAAGTCCCAGCTGTCATCACACACTGTCCCCCATTTCTCATTGTGAAACACCTCGACCCTCCCGGCGCAGCGTCCTGGGCCATCCACCAGCCGGACAGGGGCAAAAGTGGAAACAGCCGAGCCTGCAAACAGTCAGGGAGATGTTCAGAGCATCCAGCCACTTCATGGGAGGAGGAAGGACCCTGTGTTTTGGCACGTAGCCGGTGCTGTGTGGTCACATCTCCTCTGAACCCGCAGCATCTCATCCCCAACTCATGGAGGAACTTCTCAAAGGGTTTAAGGGTACTTGACCCAGCAGCAAGTAGGGTGAAGCTGGCATCTTGCTCCCAACTGGGATGGGGGAAATTACCAGTGCATCCTGACCTACTGCTGGTGCTGGAGCGAAACCCACCTGAGCATACCACGCTGGCGTGCTTTCCGTGGCTGCAGCTGCTCTCTCCCCATGGGCTTGCCCGGCATTTCGTAAGGGCTGGCTCCGTCCCCTGGCAGTTCACGTTGTCCAGCCAGATGCGTTGAGGTCCGGTGCCAAAGTCTGCCCCCTCTAATGCCGGCAGTGCCGTCCCACAGCCCAGCTGCCGGCACACGACCTCAGCGTCCTGCTTATCCCAGCCACTGTTGCAGACAGCTCCCCACTCCTCCTGGTGAAGCACCTCGACTCTGCCAGCGCAGCGGTGCGAGCCGTTTGCCAGCTGGAGATGAGCTGGCTCAGGGATGATCGAGTCTGCAAACATGCAGATTTATTAATGCCTTCAGACGGCGGCCAGTTTCCCTCCATGCTTATCCTATTGCAATTAAGCTCCTGTCCCCTTTTCAAGCTGTCAAAAAGCACAGAGGAGGGGAGAACGGGAGGGCTTACCACCACCACCCGAAACTCCCCCCAGGAGCACCCTGCACCAGAGCATCTCCCTGCAGAGGGTGGTCTGCGCTGGTACTACATCCTCCTGGACCCAAGCCCCACTCCCTGCAAGAACTGCTTGCCAGGCAGGTTGCTTTCACCGAGCTTCTCCCAACAAGTTGGTCCTGTTGTTG